AAAGGGGAAAAAAAAAGCCACTAGATCCGAGACTTGAAGTGTGATTGGCGACATGGAGTCCAGCGTCCTTAACCACCATGCCACCTGCCAACCCTGGTAGTTATTTCTTAATGTTACAGTTTGGGATGATGAAAAAATTCTGGACATGGACAGTCATGATGGCTGCACAACATTATGAATGTACTTAAGGCCACTAAGTTGTACACTTGAAAATAATTACATAGTAAATTTTACATGTTACGTGTTATTTGACCTCATACACGTCCACGTAGTTATGCCAAGTCTTTGTCCTGAACGCTGCAGATGGCAGGAAGGCTTGATCACATCACTGCATGCCTGGAAAGTGCCTAGACTAAATGGGCCCAAAATGTAATCTAGCTTATTCTTCCAAGCTGTGATGCTTACCTGTATTAGGCCTGGCATAATCTCCGGCAAAAGCAGGTTAAGGGTTTCCTTGGACAATCTTTCTATCACTTTTGTTTGACTTTTGATTGCAGCTAGATTAATTGGGTAATCCGCAGTTTGGATGATAGGACAAAGCACTTTGATGCACTGCTCCGGACTAATTGAAGTGGCCAACACTGATGCAGCTTCCTCAGCAGATCTCACCACCTAGAGCAAACAAAATCAATCAAGGAAGTAATTTTTAAAAATGTTACGCTATGTCCTGGAAGTACAAGTCCATGTAGCCTCAGCCTCCTAAGTAGCAGTGCCAACCAGCATGGGCTGGACTAAAAAAATGAAATTGTTACCGCTAAATGGAAAGTAAAAATAAGGTTGGTGAATTCATAGCCAGGTGGTGGCACAGCAGTAAAGTGGGATGCTCTGAGAGGTAATTCTACATGGTACTTTCTTGGTTCAAGTCCAGAGACCCCTCCTAGTAGTATTTCAGGCAAATGTCTGCCTATGGTCCAGGCTGGCTGAAGACCGGAGGAAAATGGTAGCATCATGACCCTGTTGGGGGTACTGTCTTTTTTTCATTCATAGAAAAAAAACAAATAGATGAACTTAAGAGAGAAAAGAGAGAGAGAGAGAGAGAGAGAAAAGAGAGAGACACAGAGAGAGAGAGAGAGAGATGAATCTTAAGCAGAAAACTAAAAGTGAAATGAAGGAGAAAATTAAATCATATATGGGGATGGGCAGGTAGTATAGTGGTTACATCAATGGACTCCCCACGCGGCCAATTGTGGTTCAAGTCCTGGACCTGGTGGCTTCAAACTCACACTGGATACATGTGCATGTGTGCCCAAGATGCCAGGAGGAGACCAGAGGAGAAGGGCCGTCCCCCTTGGGGGATGATTTCTCACTTTCTGCCTCTCTGTCTCTCTGGTGAGTGCACACACCCTATAGCAAAAATCTCTCCAAAAAAATAAATAAAAATGAAATCAGATAAAAATTATTTCACACAGTTGTCCTATTTTAGGTGAAATACCATGATATCACCACAGTTCATTCAGTATAAAAGAATATATAATTGGCAGGTTAATCAGGTATTAATTACTTTGAATACTGAGGTAATATTAATCAATGATTAATAAGGGTGTCTTTTTTTTTTTTACTCAATGCTTACAGGTTTCATGTAATAAAACACATTTTTAGTTTCCTTACCCAAAATAGTTGGAACACATGTGTTTCGGATGTGGGTTTCAAAATTTTTTTGTATTTTGAAATACTTGCATATACATAGTGAGCCATCTTTGGAGCAGGAACTAAGTCTAAACATAAAGCTCACTTAGTTTCGTATACATCTCATACAGTAGGTTGCAGGCATTTTTTTTTTTTTTTTTTTAAGTTTGCCAGAGGTGCATGTACTTTCCACAGAGAGGGGAGGAGAGAGAAAGACAAAGGACACAGTGCCTCCCATGGGGAATAATTATGCCACAATCCGGTCTCCTCCATTTCTCCCTCCTTTTGGTATTAACAGAACACATGTACCCAGTATTTTTTTCAAACTGCTGTGTTCCAGGACTCAAACTGCAAAATTGGCTATGTGACATCCAGCCACCTTAACCATACTGCAACTGGCTGGCTCAGTTGAAGGTTAATTTAAAAAAAAATTATTTATTCATTCATTTATTTTAATTTGACTAGAGAGACAGAAAGACAGATTGAGAAAGAGAGGGAGTGAGAAAGCAAGCCACCAGGTCTGAGATTCGAACTCTGGTTGGCCATGTGGGAGTGTCCAGTGCCCTAACCACCACGCCACCTGCTGGTCCCAAAGGTTAATTTTTATAGATGAGTTTTGTATTACAGCATTCTGACTGTAACCAATCTCATGAGATCAGGTGTGGAATTTTTCATACTAGTAACACTGGTATAACCCTGGTGTTCAGTAAGTCTGGGGGTATTGGAGCCGTTCAGATGTTTGGATTAGGGATGTGTAAACTGTAACAAGAAAATAAGTAATAATTTAGTGTGAGGTAACTTACCTCCTTATGAGGATCTTTATGTGCTTCCAAGGTTTTCATGACAGTCAGCTCTGCATAGTTTTTAAATCTTGCTGGTTGGTGTCTTAGGATTTCTCTTAAAACCTTTAATGCCAAAGCCCTGATAGTAGGCTAGAAACACATCAATGTTTTTAATATTCTGGGTTGTACACTGTCTTTATTTAACATTCTCAATTTCTATAACTTTTTAGAGTCTGAATATGGGGGACTGTAGACAACTGTATAAGGTGTGTGGTCTATTCAATGACCAAGTCTTCACATCCCTACTTGCAAATTTACATCACACTGCTCGCATTTGTAAGAAACCAAGAACCACCTATGTCCTGACCATAGAAAGAAGCTTTAGTTCTGAAGAAATTTAAAAATACAGAACAAGTAACCTATAAGAATTTAGCCTGCAATCACTTACTTTTCTTAATGGCAATTGCTCGGCATTGAATGATTATGAGCTATTTGTTGAAAAATACTTGACGGTGACATTTTCATGCAGAAACAACACAGTGGACTCCCATTCCCAATTTCTTAATCTGTGCAGCACTCTAATTAGCCGGCAATTTTAACAGAGACAAGAAGGAGAGGACATTGTTTGCATGTTCTGCCATTTACCTCTTTATCCCCAAGGGTTTCAAGCAATAAAAGTAATATTGTTTTGAAGTGTTCATCCCAAACACTGAAAGATTCTTCCTGTGTCAGTTTCATGAGCTCATAGAGGGCGATTTTCCTTTCTTCTACACGTTCATTATGATTGGACAGCTCCTTTAGCAACTCTGCAACCAGGTCGGAATGATCTAGGGACAGATCTGTAGAAAGGACATGATAGTCATTCTACGACATTATCGGTCAACTTTGCAAGTGTTAGAGCGACAACTTTATGACATTATGAACGAAAACAAAACCAATGTTAGTTGTAGGAAAAACTTAATTTTCATTTCCAAAACACCGCTATTTATAACTTATTATAATAAAAATATACCAAAGAGAGAACAGTACAATGAATCCCATACCCATCATACAGCTTTAATGATTGCCACCATTTATCATTTTATTTTAAAATTTTATTTATTGTTATTATTATTCATACATTAAGTTGCTATACTTCATTTAGATTGTGAACCATTCTATTTTCTGTGTGTGTATGTGCTATAGGGTACACTGCAAAGTGAAAAACAGACAGAGAGAGAGGGAAAGTGAGAAATCACCTTCCTGGATGGGTGATGGCCACACCACAATCCCTTCTCCTCTATTCTCCTCTTGGGATTTGGGGCATGCATGCACATGGCCTGGCATGACTTTCAAGCCATTGGGTTTGAGAATGGAACTGCTCAGTTCATGTGAGATCCAACCACTTTAACCTCCATGCCACCTGCTGGCTCAGATTTTGCCATTCTTACCTCATTTCTGTCCCCCTCTCCTTCCCTTTTTTCTTAAGTATTTCTAGCAAATTCCAGGTAGGTCATTTCTTCCCCAACTACCTTTTTTTCCTTTTTTTTTTTTTTTTTGAGATGTTTTTGCTACAGGGCACGTGCGCTTGCCAGGACAAGATAGAGAGACAGAAAATTAGAAACCACCCCCCCGGGGGGATTAGCCACGCCGCAATCCCTTCTCCTCCTTTCTTCCCTAGGGATCTTGGGCACGCACACACATGCGCCCGGCTTGTGTTTAAGCCACCAGGTCCGGGACTCTAACCGCGGTTGACTATGTGGGAGTCCAGTGACATAGCCATTACACCAACTGCTGGTCCCCTCCCCAACTACTTTTGCATGATGATGGAGTCATGCCAGAGGCTTGTAATGTCTGGAGATCTTACACTTTGAGTAATGTTACCAATGATCACTGGGTTTGGGTGGTGACAACTTGATTCACCATTGGAAAGTTCCTCATTAACCTTTCTACTAATGGTATTCTCATCGATTATTACTGAATCATTTATTTATTATTTATTGCCACACAGCACATATATTTGCCAGACTGAGAGAGAAAGACAGAAAGTGAAAATACCCGTCTTCTCTCAAAAGAGTGTGGTCAAAGCACAATGCTTTCTCCTTCCCGTTCCCATCCTGTCAGGATTCTGGGGACTCACACACGTTTGGCATGTTTTTTTTTAAGCTGCTGGAACCGGGATTTCAACTGTGATTAACTGTGTGGGATCCAACTTCCAGTGCACGATGCTTAATCATGAAGTTAGGGGACCAGCCCCTTATTTAATTAAAAATTATGACTATCTAATCATTCCATTCCATACAAGGGCTAGAATTCCTCTGTAGAGAATAACTTTATTGACTTAGAATTATTTTGATTATCCTGAAATGCAACTTGATAGAAGAGGCAGAATGAAAGCTTAACATGCTTATTTCCCTTTAAATCTCAGAGTTAAGCATTTGGCTTACTGGTTACCAAGGAGTTCTGAAATTTTTTCCTTTCTTTTTAACAGTATAATTATGAACTCAAGGATTTAATGAGTATTAAGAAAACGTTATTGCTTATTTTTCAAAAAATAGTCATCATAAAGGGCTTTGAAACATTTTTGTGGGAGTAACAGTCCAGTTTAAGAGATCACATTAGAGTGTGAAAGAGCCAGCAGGTGGTGTGGTGGTTAAAGGTGCTGGATTCCCACATGACATACCGCAGTTCGAGTCCTGGAACTGGCAAGTTGCTTTCTTGCTTTCTCAGTCTCTCTCTGGTCAAATTAAAAAAAATAACAATAACAAATGGAATGAAATAAATAATCCTTAAAAAATATTATAAAATATTCAGGAGGTCCTCCTAAATATTTTTGATGATCAAGGACACGCTAAATGCAGTCCTTGAAGGACTTCGGAAAGTAGTGGCCTGAGCTTGTGCCTAACCTTAACAGCAGGGTGCATAACTGCTCTAGCAAATAATCAGAAATACGTGATATAGGGGCTGGCAGGTGGTGTGGTGGTTAAGGGTGCTGGACTCCCACACGGCCTACCGTGGTTTGAGTCCTGGACGTGGTGGCTTGCTTTCTCACTTTCCCTCTCTCTGTTTGTCTGTCTCTGATCAAACTGAAAAATAAAGTTCAATAAAATAAATCTTTAAAAAAAAAAAAGAAATACGTGATATATATAATGGTCTGGGCAGATGAGTGTCAGGCAAATAATTTCAGCTCCAGAAAATACATAAATTGTTATAAAACTGAACTATTGTTGCCTTACAAATGAGATAAACCTAAGGTACTTAAGATTTCCTCTTCTGATACAGAGACACTCTGGCAAAGTGAAAAGAACACAGGCTCTGTAGTCTCACCAAACCTATGCTTCTTACCCTCTGTGTAACTGGGCAGTTAAAAAAAAAAAAATTATTTCTTTTTTTTTTTTTTGGAGGTTTTTGCTACAGGGTGTTTGCACTCGCCAGAAAGACAGAGACAGACAGAATGCGAGAAATCACCCTCCAGGGGGGATGGCCACGCCGCAATCCCTTCTCTTCCATTCTCCTCTTGGGATCTTGGGCACGCATGGACACGTGCCTGGTGTGAGTTTAAGTCACCGGGTCCAGGACTCAAACTGTGGTTGGCTACATGGGAGTTCAGCAACATAGCCATTGCACTAACTGCTGGTCCCGGATTTGGCAATAATTTCTTGAATATCATACCAATAGCAGAGGCAACAAAGAAAAATTAGACTTCGAAAAAACTAAAAAAAAAAGCTTGTGTATTATAAGGACCAGCAGATTGTGTAATGTTTATGTCACTGGATTTTCACATTGTCAACTGCAGTTCAAGTCCTAGACTTGGCAGCTTCAAACTCATACCAGGCGCACGTGCACGCATGCCCCAAATCCCAAGAGTAGAACGGAAGAGAAGGGATTGCAGCATGGTCATTTTTCCAGGGGGTGATTTCTTGCTTTCTGTCTCTCTGGAGAATGCTCGTGCCCAATAGCAACAATCTCTTAAAAAGAAAAAATCGAGAGAATAAAAAGTCCAACTACAGTGGTGTGCACTGCTGAGACATTGTGTTCCATAGGCTGGAACCAAACTGGAGGCCTGGGTTCAATACCTGGCCCAATCTAAATTCCAGGTATGGTAGCATGTACATATAATTCCACCTTGGGGAGGTTAAGGCAGAAAGACTGCAAGTTCAAGGCTGACCTGGGTGGCAACTTAGTGAGATTCTGCCTTACAAAAGGAGCTGGCATGTTGGTGTATACCCACAGTCCTAGCTGGGAGACTAAGGCAAGATATAATGACATGGTGAAATCCTACCTTTAAAAAATAATGAGGAAGGGAACCAGCAGTTAGCGTAATGGCTGTCGCTGGACTCCCACGTAGTCGACCGTGGTTCGTGTCCCGGACCCGGTGGCTTAGAACTCACGCCGGGCACGTGTGCGTACGTGCCCAAGATCCCGAGAGGAGAATGGAGAAGGGATTGCGGCGTGACCATCCCCCCTGGGGGATGATTTTTCGCTTTCTGTCTCTATGTCTCTCTCTGTCTGGCAAGTGCACGTGCCCTATAGCGAAAATCTCTCCAAAAAAAAAAGAGGAAGGGACCAGCAGTTAGCGTAATGGCTATGTCGCTGGACTCCCACGTAGTCGACCGTGGTTCGTGTCCCGAACCCGGTGGCTTAAAACTCACGCCAGGCGCGTGTGCGTGAGTGCCCAAGATCCCAAGAGGAGAATGGAGAAGGGATTGCGGTGTGACCATCCCCCCTGGGGGGTGATTTCTCGCTTTCTGTCTCTCTGTCTCTGTCTGTCTGGCACGTGCACACGCCCTATAGCTAAAACCCCTAAAAAAAAATAATAAAAATAAAATAAAAAAAAATAATGAGGGAACCAGCAGCTGGCATAATGGCTATGTCACTGTACTCCCATGTAGTAAACCACAGTTCAGGTTTCAAACCCGGCAGCTTAAATTCATGCCAGGTGTATGTGTGTGTGCCCAAGATCCTGAGAGAACGGAGAAGGGATTGTGGAGTGACCATCCCCTCTGGTGGGTGATTTTTCACTTTCTGTCTGCCTCTGTCTTTCCAGCGAGAGCACGCACCCTATAGCAAAAACCTCTTAAAAAAATAAAATAAAGACAACCCATAGAATGGGAAACAATATTTGCAAATAATATATCTGGCAAGGGGACTGGTCCTGTAGTGTAGCAATGAAGTGCTGCACTTAGAAAGCTAGATCACACATGGCCAAAGGTGGCTTGAATTCCAGACCTGACACCTTGAAAAACACACCAGGTGTGTGTATACCCCAGATTGGGATGAGATGGAGAAACGGAGGAACAAAGATTACAGTGGGATCAGGTCCCTGTGGAGGGTGCTTTTTCACCTTTAGCATGCACCCTGTGGCAAATTAAAAAAAAAAAAAAGTTAAAACAAAAATCTGAGAAGGGATTAAGATCCAGCATACATATAGAGAACTCCTACCACTCACCAACAAAAACAACCAACCAGATTTTAAAAATGGGCAAAGGAGACACTTCCTCAAAGATGATAAAAAAAAATTGGCCAATAAGCACCTAAGAAAATGTTTAATACCACTAATCATTAGGGGAATGCAAATCAAAACTACAATAAGATATCACCTTATACCCATTTAGGATGGGTACTATAAAACAATAACAGAAAGAAAAACAAACAGGGCCAGGAGGTCGAGTGGAGGTTAAGGTTGCTAGATCTCACATGGTCGACTGAATGGTTTAAGTCCCGGACCCAGCACTTTGACAATCACACTGGGGTGTGTGTGTGTGTGTGTGTGTGTGTGTGTGTGTATGTGTATGTGCATGTGCATGCATGCCCAAAATCCCAAGAGGAGAATGGAAGAGAAGGAACTGCAGCTTGGACATACCCCTGCGGGGTGATTTCTCACTTCTCTCCCCACCCTACCCCCGTTTCTCCAGTGACCACAAGTGCCCTGTAGCAAACTATAAAACAAAACAGAACAAAACCCAGAAAATAAGGGAACCAGCAGTTAGCGTAATGGTTATGTCGCTGGACTCCCACGTAGTCGACCGCGGTTTGCATCCCGGACCTGGTGGCTTAAAACTCATGCCGGGCGTGTGTGCATGCGTGCCCAAGATCCCGAGAGGAGAATGGAGGAGAAGGGATTGCGGCGTGGCCATCCCCTCTGGGGGGCAATTTCTTGCTTTCTGTCTCTCTGTCGCTCTCTATCTGGCTGGTGAGCGCATGCTCCCTATAGTGAAAATCTCTCCAAAACAAACAAACAAACAAACAAACAAACAAACAAAAAAACAGAACAAAACCCAGAAAATAACAAATATTGGCGAGGATGTAAAGAAATTAGAAATCTTGTGTAGTTGGTAGAAATGTAAAATGGTAACGCTACTGTGGAAAAATGTACAGTGGTTCCTCAAAAACTTAAAAGTAGAATTACCATATGATCTAGCAAGTCTACTTCTGGGTAGACACCCAAAAGAATCAAAAACAGGGTTGCAAAGAGATATCTGTACACTAATGTACAACATAAAAGGAACCCAAATGTTCATTCATGAATAAACAGATAAGCAAAATGTGGTATGTACATACAACAGGATATTTTTCAGCCTTAAAAAGGAAGGAAATGCTGAGGTATGCTACGGTATCGACGATCCTGAGGACGTTACGCTAAGTGAAGTAAGAACCACAAAAGACAAATACTGCCTGATTCCACTTATCTTTGGTACTTAGAGTAGTCAAAATCAGAGACAGATAGTAAAATGGTGGTTGCCAAGAGTTGGGTAAGGGAGAAAATGGGAACTTATTTAAGTAGAGTTTTAGTTTTATAAGATAGAAAGAGATATAAAGATAAATGGTCATTATGATTGTACAAAAGTATGAATATATTAATAATACTGAACTGTATACTTAAAATGGTTAAGACGGTACATTTTATATTATTTATTTATTTTAGGTTTTAGCCATAGGGATCATACACTTGCTCAGGGGGGTAGTGAGAAATCATCCCCCAGAAGGGATGGCCACAATGAAATCACTCCTTCATTGTCCGACCTCAGCATTTTAGGCATGCATGCACATGTACCTGGCATGATCTTCAAGCCACTGGGTCTGGGGCTTGAGCCATGGTCAGCCCTATGGGAAGCCAGTGCTTGAACCACCATGCCACTTGCTGGTCCTGTTGTGTATATTTTAACACAATAAAAAATTGTAAAAATGATATTATATGGATAATTGGCAAAATTATAATAGGATTTTCGTGATTATTTATATGTTGCTTTTGATGAGTATACTATGCTTATGCATGATAATATCTTTGTAGAAAATAAATTCTAAAGTATTTGGAGCAATGAAGCATCAGGCTGGCAAGTTACTTTCAAATGTTTCAGGAGAAGAAGTTGTTCTACACTCCCAACCAACTTTGAAGCTTTTGATTATTAAAAAAAAACAAAACAAAATGTATATAGACACAGACAAAATCAATCTAGTCAAGGCAAGAAATGTTAGTAGACCCAATTTAGTCTGCAGTTTGCAACCCATGCATAAATTATTATTATTATTTTTTAAGATAAGGTCTTGCTATGTTGTAATCCTCCTGCCCTAGCCTCCTGAACAGCTGGGACTACTGGTACATGCCATTGAATCTGAATAGTAGGGTGGCTAAAAATCAAGCCTTGGGAGCCAGCAGGTGGTATGGTGGTTAGAAAGTGAGAAATCACTTCTCAGTGGTATGGTCCCACCACAATCTCTTTTCTTCCATTCTCCTCCAGGGAGCATGTACACACATGCTCCCGGTGTGATTTTTTTTTTTTCAAGTCACCAGATCCAGGACTCAAACTACGGTTGGCCATGTGGGAGTCTAGCATTGTAACCGTTATGCCATTTCTTGGCTCACCATTAATATTATTTTAAAATTTGACCAGAGACAAAGAGAGACAGAGAGACAGAGAGAGAGAGAGAGAAAGTGGTCTGGGATTTGAACCGTGGTCAGCCATGTGGGAGTCCAGCGCCCTTAACACCATGCCATCGGCTGATCCAGGACTTCATTTTTAAATGGCTAAAGTCCCATTTATTCCCTCCTGTTACACTGCTGTCATGATGAAACCTTAAAAACACAGGCAAATCTTTGTGACTGTATCTAGAAACAAATTTGCTCTTGATTTCAGTTATTTCTGGGAGAACACTAAGGTTCTGATTTTTTTTTTTTTTTGCTATAGGGCGCGTGTGCTCGCCAGAAAGACAAAGAGGCAGGGAGACAGAAAGCGAGACATCACCCCCCCAGCAGGGATGGTCACGCTGCAATCCCTTCTCCTCCATTCTCCTCTTGGGATCTTGGGCATGCACGCACATGTGCCCGGCGTGAGTTTAAGCCACCAGGTCTGGGACTCGAACCATGGTCGACTACATGGGAGTCCAACAACATAGTCATTATGCCATCTGCTGGTCTCACTAAGATTTTGATTTTTGAGGATGATCTGTGGATGTGCCCTGGTGCTCATTTTGGAGAGGCGAACTATCAACCCATTAGAAATTGGCTCTAGAAAATAAGAGAAAACATTCTCATCCCAAAGATCCTTTGTTTTGGTATACACATTTCTTTTGTTTTATTGATTACCAGTCCTCCAAAACACAGGTGGTGGCAGTGTGACCCAGAACATACCATCAGGAAACTGGTCAGCATCGTCGTCAAACATGGCTTCCTTGAGGGCAGACTTGTTGAAGGGGCTGATGGCATCTGAATAGTTATACGGATTATAGTCTCGGGAACGTGGGGAGGAGTGAGCTGGCATCGAGTGTAGCAATGATGCTTTGTTATCAAGAGCTGTTTGGCTTGAGTCAGTGGCATCGCCTCCTGCTCTTGGGTCAGACATCCCAGGTCCACCACACATCTATGATGGGAAGATGGCACAGCAAATTTACTCATTTTATTTTAAAAAGATGTTTTCTTACTGCTTAACAGGCAACTTAAAAGGTAACAATAACCAGATAAAAAATGTAAATATTAGGTAAAACATTATGAGTTAAAATTCAGAGTCAAAATGTCAAAACTTATACTGGGTCATTGGAAAAGTAATGACATTATTTTTCTATGCAAAAATGCGTCATGACTTTTCTGACGACCCAATAGTAAAGACACCACAATAGTGAGAACCATAAAAGAATGCTGGCTCTAGTGACTATTACAGTTCCTCTGACAATAGCTTGATCAAATAATATATAGTTTAATTTGGAATAGGTTCTCCATACCAGTTAGAGATGAAAAAGGACTTCAATTACCAACAGAAGCAACAGCTGCCAGATTCCATGAAGGTTGCAAATCACACGATAGAAGGTCAAAGAGGTCGAAGAAAACCTCACTTAGGGTTGGCTGTATGCCATAGTGGTTAGTGCTGCACACCGGAAGCTGGATCCTACATGACCAACTAGGGTTTTAGTCCCTAACCTATTGGCTTGAAACACACACTGGCTGTGTGTGTATGTGCCCAGGTTCCTAAAGGGATGGACAACTGAAGGAAAAAGGACTATGGGAAGACCAGGCCCTACTGAGGGGTACTTTCTCTTTTTCTTGCCCTCCCTTCCAGTGCATGCGCTTGCCCTTCATTAAAAAAAAAACAAAAAAAAAGGAAAAAGCAAAAGGAAAGAAAGCAAGCCTTGGGGACGGTAGGTGGCATGGTGGTTAAAGGTGCTGGACTCCCACATGGCTGACTATGGTTCAAGTCTTGGACCTGGTGGCCTGCTTTCTCACTTTCCCTCTCTCTCTTTCTCTCTATTATTGCTCTCTGATCAAAACTGGAAAATAATAATAATAATAATAATAATAAATAAAGTTAAATAAAATAATTCTTTAAACAAAGGAAGAAAGAAAGAAAACAAGCCTTAAAAGGCTTGAATAACTTTTGGAAAGATGTCAATAGAGTTTGGGTACATAAACTAAAACATCAATACTAATAGTGATTTGAATACCAGTATCAAAATCATTACCAGGACAAATATCACCATCTACCGAACAACTATATGTCAAATCATTTGCTAGGCACTTCACGAATATTTTTCAGGATATTTACTGTGCACTTATTACATGCCAGGCATTGTTTTTGGCATCGGAAATAGATCAATGAGCAAAACAGAAAATGATGTCTACCATCCTGGGTTTTATTTCCCAGTAGAGGAATAGAAACAACAAAAAACTTTATGAGGGCTTGGGATCAGCAGATGCCATAATGGTTATGTCACTAGATTCCCATGTATTTGACAGCAGTTTGAGTTCCAGAGTCAGTGGCTTAAAAGTCACGCCACATGTTCCCAAGATTCTAAGAGGAGAAAAGACAAGAAAGGGTTGCAGCATGGCCATCACCCCCTAACCCCCCTCCTCAGCCCTGGGATAGATCGTATAACAAAAATCTCTCTTAAAAACAAAACAAAATCCACAACAACAAAACCCAAAACTTAATGAGGGCTGTTAGCCTTGTAGTACCAGGGGTTAAGTGCAGTGCAAGTGGAGCCGAATCCCACATGGCTAACTGCAGTTCAAAACCCAGCCCTACTGGCTGGAAAAATATGCCAGGCACATGTGAATGTGTGCCCCAAATCTTGATGGAAAAGGACTGTGGTGTGTCCACGCTCCACTAGGGGGGGGCACTTGCTCTTGTGCTCTCTCTGCCAAGCACACGGGCACTCTGGCAATTAAAAAAATAAGTACAAAAGCTCTGTAAATGAATCAAGTATATGATAGAAGAAGATTAGCATATACGAAAAAAAGAGTAGGTATCATAAAGGCTGAGTGGGGAGAGTAGAGTTTGTAAATTAAAATAAATGGAGTGAGTAGGGTTCGCTGAGGAGACATTTGTATAAAGATTCAAAGGAAATAAGGGAATTAATCAAGGGGTTGTCTGATAAGGTGTTTCAGGTAGAGGGGAGAGTCACCATAAAGACCTTGAGGTAGGAACACACACAGTAAGTTTAAAGGGCAAGGAGACCAGTGTAGCAAGGAGCAGAGGGAACGAGAACAGCAGGAGATGAGGGCAGTGAGGTAAGAGGAAAAGTCTTCTGGTAGATTTTGGCTTTTCTTCTGAGCCCTTCCATTGAGCTGTGAGAACCTTACAGGAGGCTGAGGGTGGAATCAAGGAGGCCAATTAGAAGCCAATCACGTGAGAGAACTGACGTGGTGAGGGCCTGCCAGGGAGGGAGTGATGAGAAATGGACAGCTTCTGGATATATTTGGAAGGTAGAACCAATGGATCTTCCAACGGGTTGGACATGGAAGATGAGGAAAAGGGCTCAAGGACAACTGTTCTATCCAAGGTTTTCTGGTTGAGCAACGAATGTGGCCATCAACTAAGAAAGGGAAGAGCAGTTTTAGGGACGATCAGTTCAAACAGGCAATTGAACGCATGATCATGAAGTTCAGCAGAGAAATCTGGGCTGGACGGATATTTGCCAGACTCATGGTTTATAAGGTAGGCAGCAGTATTGCTATTTTTCTAATGAAGACACTTAGGCTTAGAAATAACTGACCAGCTAATAACTGCCAAGAACTGGGATTTGAACTCACGTTGGTCTACTACTTGAGTTTCTCACCCCATACCACGTTTGGTCTGAAAACTGAATCGCAAGTGTTAATTCTTAGTAGCCCATTACTGCTATCATCTGCGGCTTTTAGGGTAGGGAACCTCAAATATGAGTGGCAATTTGGTTTGTGGCAGCTATTCAGGTAGGCCCACCACAACCAGCTCTGCCAGATGGAGATGGTTAGGAAAACAGCAGGAAAGAAGTCAAACAGGCACCAGAGAGTCCTTTAGGGATGTCTTAAAAAAGGACAATGCTCTGCACTTCTGGAAACACTGAAAACTGATGGGTTCCACAATACCGGAGGGATGACTCCTTTTGATGCAAGTCTAAGCTATCAGAGGAAAGTCTAACAAAAAGTAAAAAACAACTACTCTTTGTATAATGGCAGAAGCAACAAACTAAACAGTAATAGTCACATACATCAGAAAAATAGGCCATCGCATTCCTAACTGGTGCCATAGAAACTGATGATGCCAATCGCTACCACTACATTTACCAGGGAACTAACGTTAACTAACGTTAAACTTATTTGGTCTTATGCTATTTTCTGTGATATGGTCCTTGTTTCACTCTTTTTCTTTTTTTAAAGTGTGTTTTTGTTATAGGGAGCATGAACTTGCTGGAGAGAAGAGACACATAAAGTGAGAAATCATCCTCTAGGAGGAAGAACATGCTATAATCCCTTCATCTCCATTCTCCTCTTAGGATTTTGAGCATGCACGCCCACGCACCCGGCGTGAGTTTTGAAACCACTAGGTCCCGGACTCGAACCATGGTTGGCCATGTGGGAGGCCAGCGACGTAAGCATTACGCCATCTGCTGGTCCCTCTCCCTTCTTTCATAATGCTCTAAGTAGTAGCTTTCCTCCTAGTCTTCAGTTACACAAACCTCGCTGCCATGTAAGTATCTTGCACTTGCTGACTCTTTCATGGAATTCTCTAGATTTGTGTGGCTTAATTCAGATCTCAATATAAATGTCATATCTCACGAGCGACCTTCTCTGACTACAAAATCTAAAATAGATTCACCTTCTTTCACGGCACATTCTAACTAAAACCCAGTATTACTCATCTCTGCATGAAAATCTAAAAGGAACTGAGCGATACTGTCTTGTAAATTTAACACCCAAAACAGTGTGTGGCAGGTGGAAAATACTCAGCAAAAATTTGTAGTGATTGACTTCTAGAAAATATATTTGAAAATGATAGAAAGCAAAGTTTTAAAAGAAATACTCTTAATGGAAAATGAGGTATCTGCAATGTAAGAATATTCAAATACTCACTGAATCACCATCCTCTTTTTTAGAATCCCTTTTCAATGGCTCATTCATATCTTCTTGACTACGGAAGCTAAAATTCTGGATCGCTTCAGTGACACCTCTAAGAGAGCTATATATATCTTCAGAGTTCATATTTTCTGTGTCATAATCAAATGCACTATGAAAAAAACATAATTAATTTTTATTTATGTGTAGCTTAGTAGGGAGATTTTTGCTATAGGGCGTATATGCTTATCAGAGAGACAGAGAGAAACAGAAAGACAGAAAGTAAGAAATCACCCCCCAGGGGGGATGGCCACACTGCAATCCCTTCTCTTCCATTCTCCTTTCGGGATTTTGGGCACGAACGCACACGCACCCAGTCTGAGTTTAAAGCTGCCAGATCTGGGACTCAAACTGTAGCTGACTATGTGGACATCCAGCGATGTAACAAGTATGCCATCTGCTAGTCCTTATTTATGTGCAGTTTTAAAATATAAACATTTTTGAAAGTATACAGCATATATATATATATATTATATATACATGTAATATATGTATAATATATATATATTTTTTTGGTTTTTTTTTTTTGGAGGTTTTTGCTATAGGGCATGTGCGCTCACCAGAAAGATAGAGAGACAGAGACAGAAAGCGAGAAATCACCCCTTAGGGATGATGGCCACACCACAATCCCTTCTCTTCCATGCTCCTCTCGGGATCCTGGGCATGCATGCACACATGCCTGGTGTAAGTTTAAAGTTTAAGCCACCAGGTCCAAGACCTGAACTGCGGTTGACTACATGGGAATCTAGCCAAAATAGCCATTATGCCAACTGCTGGTCCCAAAATTATATAGCATATCTATAAAGACAGAATTAGAGAATATATATTCCTTAAAGCATAATTAAAATAAGCCATGGAAGCTAGAAATGGTTAAAGTACATGCCCCCTTGTCTCTCCACCAAAGACAGTGTACAATGACTCTAGAAAGCACATCCCTTAAAAACAGGTTTGTCTTTCTACCTTCAAAAATGTCCTCATTAACCAGGGGTCAGCAAACTATGGATGGTTTATAAGTTATACTTTTAAATGATTGAAATTAAAATGAGTTTTGTGCGTGTACGTGTGCGTAGGTGGGTGGGTGGGTGTGCTAGAGGATGTGTGTGCTTGCCAGAGACACACAGGAGAATCACCTCTGGTGGGGAATGGTCATGCCACAATCCCTTCTCCTCCATCTTTCCCTCCTTTCAGGATTTGGACAAGTGTACACACGTGCCAGGTCCAGGACTTGCACTGCACAGTTGACAATATGGGATCTAGCTTTAATCACCAGGCCACAGAGCTGGCCCTCAATGAATATTTTATGACAAAAATGATATAGCATCCAAATTCCAGTGTCTATAAGTAAAATGTTATTGAAACACAGCCATGTTAATTTATTTAGGTATCAAACTACGACTGCCTTTGTACTCTAACAATCAAACTGAGTAGTGATCATGACCACATGGCTCAACAAGCCTAAATTTACCACCTGGCCTTTTACAGAAAGCTTGCCAAGGGGCCAGCAGGTGGCATGGTGGTTAAGCCACAGGACTCCCATGTGGCCGATCATGGTTTGAATCCTGGCTCTGACACCTTGAAAATCACGCTGAGCGTGTATCTGTACATGCCCAAAACCCCAGGAGGAGAGTGGAGAGGGGACTGTGGTGTGGTCACCCCCGCCCCTCGGGGCTGAGTTTTCACTTTCTCTCTCCAGCAAGCACATGTACTCTATGACAAAAATCTTAAGGAAAAAAAAAAAAAGGAAGCCTTGCCAATCCCTCTTATTTATTAACTCACTATAATGGGACTGCTTAAAGAAGAGACATGTATTTTACATAAATTTATGAGATAGCAAAGGATTTTTAACACTGAATATAAATGTTGTTGACATGAATTCCATAATCAAATTCTAAAATTCAACTGAGACTGGAATTTAGCCACCAAAATTGTCATAAACATGTAATATAGAAAAAAGTCAGCTAGAAAATATTTGCAATATATTTTTCTTTTTCATTTTTCAGATGCTGATGTAGCATCTTATAACTTTTTGTTTTAGAGAGAGATTTTTACTATAAGGTGCGTGCACTCCCTGTAGAGACAGAAAGCAAGAAATCACCCCCCCCA